CCTACTGGGGATGTGCCTGCAACCAAGGTACATGCCCTTGACTGGAATCGAACCTGGGACCCTTGAGTCCGCAGGCTGATGCTCTATCTACTGAGCCAAACCGGTTAGGGCGTGACTCCTTTTTTAAAAAATGGATTTGAGAGAGGAAGGGAGGGAGGGAGGGAGAGAGAGAGAGAGAGACAAAGAGAGAAATGGATTTGGTGTACATGTATTCATGCATTCATTGGTTAATGCTTGTATGTGCCCTGGGATCAAACTGCAACCTTGGTGTATTGAGAGGATGCTCTAACTCTAACTGAACTACCTGGCCAGGGCCATTATGAAGTGAATTCTTTTCTATCCTGTGCTCCTGCAGTTGACATTTCTTAATGTAAGTGTTGGACTTTACTTTTATCTTCTTTATATTTCATCCTGTCGGTTTCAGTCCAGTCACTCAAAATATTATAAATTGTCTAACCACTATGCTATACGCCTGAAATTAACACAAAATAATATTGAATGTAAACTGTAATTGAAAAATAAAAAATTTAAAATATATCATAAGATCTTTAGCTGTTCTTCAATGGTGTATAAATTCAATAGTGGCCTTGAATTTTAGTGTTACTTCTGTACATCTAGAAGACTGATAACATATATCAGGTGTCTTAGTTACATGATCTTGGAATTTGCATTTGTGGCTTTGTCAGGCTGATAGAATGTTTTTCTTGTCTTCCTTTTTAGATTCTACAGGAGGGAATGATGCTGAAGTGAAGGGTTTACCCCATATGACTTCACTTAAATTTATCTGTACAGCATATATAATCATATAATATTTTCCTTATTTACTTATTTCTCCACACTGAAATGTGAGCTCCATGAAAGCGGGATCCTGTCTTGTTCTCTGTATTCCTATTACCTAGAATAGTGCTTGGCACAAAGTAAGTGCTTAAAATGAATGAATCTAAGTATGACACAAAAGACCTACCATTTTAAAAAGATTATTTAAAAACAATGTCAAGGCTGAGCCAGGTTTACCCCAGCACTCACCTGGATGTGGATGCAGGCACATTGTTTAAATTTTAAGAAAATATTACTAACATCCTTTTAGTGCTGAGCCAGAGCTACCTTTTGATAAATTAAAAAAACAAATACTGCCCTCTGATGGTAGTGGGTTTTTTTTTTCCTTTTTAATTTAATTTTAGTAGCAATAGTTGTACAACCTTATTCCCTTATGATCATACTATGGCTGCAGGTAATGGAGTAGGCTGGGAGGGACTTTAAGATGCACAATGCATTTGCATCTGCATATTCCAGACAATTTTCCTAGCTACTATCCTTGGCCCCAACCCTTCCAACTAGTTTGCTTCCCCAGCCCTCTTATTCTGGAGTCCTAGTGGTTAACTTGGCAGTGCCAGGGTAGACCTTCCCAAAGGCTTATCAGAAGATAGTGACACAGCTTGCTTGGTTGGGCCAGCTGTGACCCAAACGGGAAGAGTGACCGCTCATATGGCAATTGTCCTTTATTTGTCTAACTTCTCAACTTGGCCTCTTTCTCTTTTTCCTCAAGCTTTCCGTTCTTTCTGGCTTCCTGTTCCCAACTCCTCTCCTAGGTGAAAATGTCAAAGGTTAAAAGTTTAAAATACGCCAGCCCATTATATCGAAAGCATGCCCCAAAATCTAAAAAATATATTAATTATTTTATCAGGGCTATCAGGTATCAAAGTTTAATTCTCAAAATTTAAAAAACATAACTTTCATACCAATGTAAAATGAATACATATCTAAGACTTATTAACTCATCAATGAAGTACCAATAAAATGATTAACACTGGTTCAAAAAGTAGTTAATGTCTGCCCTAGCTGGTTTGGCTTGGTGGATAGAGCGTCGGCCTGCAGACTGACAGGTCCCAGGTTCCATTCTGGTCAAGGGCACATGCCAGGGTTGTGGTCTTGGTCCCCAGTAGGGGGCGTGCAGGAGGCAGCCAATCAATGATTCTCATCATTGATGTTTCTATCTCTCTCTCTTTCCTTCCTCTCTGAAATCAATAAAAATATATTTTTAAAAAGTGGTTAATGTCTTATAAGCATTATAAGACATTAAGCTACAGGTTATCTTCTCTATTGACAACAATTTTCAAATTAACATGGAACTAAATACACAGTGTCTGGGCTCCAATCAAACAGTAAACAACAAAGTCAAACACAAATACACTGTCCTAGAAAATTAAATAATCCTTGAGAAAATTTTTAAATAATGCTGCAATATAATGTTGAAAAGACATGTGGCCCTCATCTTTTCCCTTATTTGTAAGTTTTAGATAATTTTCCTTAACACAAGTGGTTTTTACATATGTTTTACATAAAATTTATGTATATTTGTCCTGTCAGTCTTTACCTGTTTTGGAGTGTGTTAGTACTTCGCAAGTGGTTAACAGTGGATGTGAGAGAGCAAAAACATAAATCTTATTTTGTTACTAGTTGATAACTCTAATTTCAGGATGGGAGTGTTGGTGTAGAGTGGAGGGGAAAGAGATAAAGTGAAGGAAGAGATTAAAAGACTTGAATAAAATAAACTTTGAGGGTTACATTAAGATTTTAATTATCTATTCTATTTCTATGGTTATCACACATAATGGATACCTCTAAGTTTCTTGTCAGGAGAGAATGCATCTCACCAAATATGTGAAAATTATGTAGTAGCCAGTGTAGTAACAGGAAAGAGGGACAATGACATCAACGAATATTTAACAGTAGTGATGACAGATGCCTGGCTCTGGCTAAACTTTCCTTATAAGTATTGAGGCAGGTGGTAGTTTTGCTCTCCTAAGTACATAAGGCTACTATCAAGAAGGTCAAGGGCAAGAAGGCAACCCTAATAGAATTTGTTAACCCAATAGTTCCTACCAGAAACTGAAAAGTTCCTACATCAGGATGGTCATATTGAGGTTGGGAATAAGGAGCATTCATTCAATTTAAAGACTATCCTGTCCGTCTTCAACATGTACTATCAATTTTGTTAGTTGTTTTGCTTTGTTTTTGTTTTTCTTCTTTTGGTGGAACATATAAGAACTTTTTTCTGCCCTTGCTGGTTTTCTCAGTGGTTAGAGCACTGGCCTGGGGACTGAAGGGTTTTGGGTTCAATTCCAGTCAAGGGCATGTACTTTGGTTGCAGGCTCGATTGCAGGAGGCAACCAATCAATGTGTCTCTCTCATATAGGTGGGAGGGGGAGAGAGAAATATTGATGTGAGAAACATCGATCAGTGCCTCCTGTAAGCACCCCAATTGGGGATGCAACTGACAATCTAGGCATACGCTTTGATGGGGAATCAAACTCACAACCTTTTGGTGTACAGGGCAATGTTCCAACCAACTGAGCCGCCCCGCCAGGGCTAAAGATCTATTAATTTCATCCCTCTATATTTTCTTCTTCAAATTATTGATGCCGTTGCCCAAAACCATAGTAAGCATTTATACCTACCCAAATGACTTTAGGATCTGGATGATTTTCTTCTCTTTGCCCCCATCAGTGTTCCCAGGATCTTTCAATATCTGAGCTATTGCTCCTCCAGGCTCCTTAATCTTGACTCCTAACTTCTTGGTTTTATGGATTGTCTTCTCCATCAGCCTTGGTCTGGAAAGTTCAGATGCTCAATGTTATCACCACCAGGACTTGCTAAACTTTTGAGATCTCTTAACTCAGCATTTCCCTTCTCTGACCCAATTGCTTTAATCGCTCACCAGTCACAACTTGTCAGACCTGCCTTCTGGTGCCACCCCTTCTAGTGCTTTTCATCGCTCAGCCCCTAGATCTTCTCCAGCCTCACTAATCAGGTGGCTCCACCTTGTTCATTAAGAAAACTGAAATCATAAACCTGGTCCTGCCCCTGGCATAACTGGTCTGTCAGTCTTCTCTCTTGTTCTTCCCTCTCCTTTAAAGCTGTCTCTTTTGAAATGCCCTGGGGGAGCTTCCATAGAGTAAATACTCCAACAGTGCTTACTGAATGAATGAATGAATGAATGAATGAGTGACCAAATCTCTTCAGAGGAAAACAGTAATATATTAAAATTTAGAATGCACATACCCAGCAAGTCCCCTCTATACATTATTTATAGTCATGCACATGTGTAAAATAGAGAATGTACAAGGTTATTTGCTGTGGCATTGTTTGTATAGTGAAAGGGGAACGCAACCTAAGGTCAACTTTTGAAATATTTCATCTATATCTATGCAACAGAATACTATGTAGATATGAAAGAATCTCCAATTCTGAAAATTCTTTTGCTACCTATGGCAAATATACACGAGTCATGACCATCTTGTCCCTGGTGATATCGCCATACGGATAATCCCTTTAATGAGGCTTTTAATGGTAAAGAGTAGAAATGGACAGGTAGAAAGAATGAATAATGTTTACAGTTTTATTTAATGAGTATTAAGTTCCTTGCAGAAAACACAGGATTTCTATCAATTAAATAATAAGAAATATTATCTGTATACATATAACCTTGCCAACAAAAATTTCCTCTTTGTAGATCCAAATTCATGAATAGGCCTAAACTGGCAGTACCTATTGTTCATTTATTATGGGTAGAGTCCCCATTTTACAAACAAACCTCTTTTTTTATGGGAAAAGGTTCAGGGTTTCAGAATGTCTTTGGTGTATATTTCCTGATATCTGAGGGGCAGAATTCTCCTGTTGTCCCTCAAATGACATGAACTGTAGCTGCAGCACATTGTGCAGGGGCACTCTACTCTAGAATTAAATACTTATAAAACAGAGTTAAATATAAGACATAATGCATACAGAATAATCCCCTAGTAACTGTATATGGCCTCCAGTCTTATCAAACTATAATTTGCTTACTGTGCCTCAATGAAAAAAATTTATTTTATTTTATTTTTTTATTGCTTAAAGTATTACAAAGGGTATTACATATGTCTCCTTTTTGAAAAAAAAATTTTTTAATCTTCACCCAAGGATATGTTTAGAGAGAGGAGAGGAGAGAAACATTGATGTGAGAGAGACTCTAACATCAATCGGTTGCCTCCTGTATGTGCCCCAATCGGGGATCAAACCACCAACCTTAGTATGTGCCCTGACCAGGAATCAAACCCGAAGTCTTTTTTTGTGTATGGGTCAATGCACCTACATGTCCTGTTTTTGAAAAGTAACACGGTCAATCCAAATATGACCTGATGTGTACATTTAGTGTTCTTCACAGATTTTTCTAGGACTAATCTACAATCTCTGTATGAACATGGAGTTTCTGCTAGCCCAGTAAATTTTTGTTTTTGATATCAGAACTCGTCAGCTGACTCTGTGTCCCAGCCACAGGACAGCAGTTGTTCATCCTGTGGGAACTCTACTTCTATGTCATAAACAAAATTTGGATCATCCTTCTTCTTCTGATTTTTCTCAAAAAGTTCATCCATGATGCTCTTCCTTTTGGCAAGCTCCTTGTCATCTAGCTTGTTCAGGTCTTCCTCAGGATCAATGGTTGTTTCCCGTTGAATCTGTTCCATTGTTTCTGCCAAACTCTGCCCCCGCAAGTTACCTCGTAAAAAACAGAATAATTTCTCAAGCTGTCTCAGGGACACTTGTTCCAGGTAACTCTTGTGTCGTGGATTATTCTTTAATTGTTCAGCAGCTCTGTTGCAATCTAGGAAGGAAGAAACAAAACTATACACCACACAAAACCTATACACCACAAGCTATTGGTGCACCACAAACTACTGCCAGCATTATCTGCCATTATAGCCAAATAGCTAAGTGGTTTGTTTGGAACAAATCATTCTGCAGAACTATTTCTTTATATCGAGCTTTGAGGTGGTAGAAGAAGAGGGATTTTTTTTTTTTAATTTTCTTAACTTAAAATCATGTTGAGAAGATGTAAACACTTTCAACTGGAGAAAATGTTGGAGAAGAAAAAGTAGTATTACAGCTTTAGATATTAGTACTGGTACTAAGAAAATGTGGAGACTATAAGTAAAAAACACATTTGGAGGGAGAGAAGGAAATTAATATTATTGAATAATGCTATCTCAGTTAACCTACACAGCAATTCTGAAAGGGCGGGGATTATCAATTTCCTTTTTCAGATGAGAAAACTGAAGCTCACTGAGAGGAAGTCATTTAGCCAGGGTCACATATCTACCGAGAGACATGATTTGAACCCAGGTCTGTTTAACTCTGAATGCCCTGTCAGACCATTACATAAAACTCAAATTGCTCTTATTCAGTGATTTAGGGAGTATTTAAGATGGGAGGTGAGATAAAACATGAGGTACCTGAGCTTGGCCGGTGTGGCTCAGTGGTTGACCTTCGACCCAGGAACCAAGAGGTCGCTGGCTTGATTCCGTCAGGGCATATGCCTGGGTTGTGGGCTCGGTCCCCAGTGTGGGGTGTGCAGGAGGCAACAGATCAATGATTCTCTCTCATCATTGATGTTTCTATGTCTCTCTCCTTCTCCCTTCCTCTCTGAAATCAATAAAAATATATTTTAAATAAGTAAAATAAGTAAATAAAACATGAGTTACCTGAAAATTTTGAAAAGTTTCGGACAGGCATGATGCGCTGGCGACTTTTCCCTTTCATTTCATTCTCATAGATTAGGATAATAGCTGGAGGCTGAAGCCTAATTCCACATTTCTTGGCAGTGCACGTCATTCTCATATACACTTCAGGGTAAATGAGAGGAAATCTGAAAATGTGTTAGTCACATAATGACTTCCTGCAAAAGAGGGGAAAAAAATTAAGTGTTGGATTAATCACACTCTTCCCTCTCTCTCCTCCCCAGCAGATCTGGCTCTAGTTCAGATTTAGATCAGTTCTATAGATACATGTTCAGCCTATCAATCTCAATATTTTGAGCGTTACCCTGAAAGTTTAGTTTGGCCCTGGGTTAGCCTTAGTCTGTTGGATCCCTGATTCATTGAGGGGTATAGGTATGTTCACACATGAGCTTGAAATGCAGTTCAGTTTGGCTCTCTTACTGTACTGTACTTTTAATCAAAGATTATATATGAACCCATGAGTCAGCCCCAAAACTGACTTATAGGATCTTTTTTATTTAACAATTAAACAAGTATATACAAGGCACTAAGTCTATGTCAAGGTACTAAGAGTTTTTTTAAAATCTTAATCATTATGTTTTGAGAGGTTCACCAGACCAGATCTGTTTCCCTTGTACTTTCCTAGTCATTTTACTCATTGAGTTTTTTTTTTTGTAATTACTTATTTAATCATTTATCTTCCCTTCTCTTCCATATGCTCCATGAGGACAGGGAACATTTCCACTGATTACCACAATATCCCAGCACAATACCTGGAATATAGTAGGCATCCTGTACATACTTGTTTAATTCAATGTATTAAAATAAGCCCCTGTACATCCTGAAAGTTTTTACAGTCCAGAAGTCTGACCAAAAAGGCAAAGCCACCTAGCCAGTGTGGCTCAGTGGTTGACTGTCGGCCCATGAACCAGGAGGTCATAGTTCAATTCCAGGTCAGGGTACATGCCTGGGTTTCGGCCTTGATCCCCAGTAGAGGGCATGCAGGCGGCAGTTGATGGATGATTCTTTCTCATCATTGTTGATTCTCTCTTTCTCATCCTCTGAAATCAATAAAAACATATTTTTTAAAAAGGCAGAGCCACCCTAGCAGGTTTGGCTCAGTGGATAAAGCATAGGCCTGCTGACTGAAGGGTCCGGGGTTCAATTCCGGTCAAGGACACGTACCTCGGTTGCAGGCTCCTCCCTGGTCGGGGGCGCGTACTAAAGGCAACTAATTGATGTGTTTCTCTCATATAGATATTGCTCTCTGTCTTTCCCTCTCTCTAAAAAAACAATGGAAAGCCCTAGCCGGTTTGGCTCAGTGGATAGAGTGTCAGACTGTGGACTGAAGGGTCCCAGGTTCAATTCCGGCCAAGGGCACATACCTAGGTTGCAGGCTCGATCCCCAGTGTGGGGCGTTCAGGAGGCAGCCAATCAATGATTCTCTCTCATCATTAATGTTTCATATAAAATGGAAAAATATCCTCGGGTGAGGATTTAAAAAACAAAAAAGTCAGAGCCAATGCAGAATCAGCCTATACATATACAAGGCAATAAAGTTTATATGACTTTTAGTTAAACGTATTTGTCTCATTACATTTTTTTTTTTCAGTTACAAGAAACGCAGCTATTTTTTAGGTTAATACTTTCTTCCTTCCCCTGCCCCCAATGCCAAAGTACACTTAATTATAAGGACTGCTTTAGATGTGACTATATTATTCCCAGGAAATTTTGAAAATATCAAGGAATCTAGAAGTAAATCAGCATAGAGTAATGATATCTTTTTATTTTTTAAAGATATTTTTATTGATTTCAGAGCGGAACGAAGAGGGAGAGATAGAAACATTAATGATGAGAGAAAATCATTGATTGGCTGCTTCCTGCATGCCCCCCACAGGGGATGGAGCCCACAACCCGGGCATGTGCCCTGACAGGGAATCAATGATGATCTGGTTCATAGGTCAATGCTCAACCACTGAACCACTCAGTTGGACAAGTAATGATATCTTCATAAACTCAGTTCTGTCAGCAAATCTCTACAGGCACAGAGTTATTTAATACATGTTCACTGTAGAAAACTGGAGGTGAAGGTGGGACATGGGGAGGAAGAAACATAAAAAATAGTCACCCTTAATTCCTTCCAGTCTTTTTTCTAGGCATACGGTTTTAGGCATACAGTTTTATTTTTTTAAACTACAGTAGCTGGGTGGGTCTACTTTTTTGATCAGGCTTCTAGACTGTAAAAACTTTCAGGAGGTACAGGATGTCGCCATTTAAATTTAACAACCTATGTGATTTTGTCGTTAAATGTTCTATCAAAATGCTAACTTTTATAATATTACTGCCAAATGTTTGTTCTAAGGATATATCAAAATCTCTCTTATCCACCCTTTATTGTGAGATGTAAGAACTTTTACTCTGAGAAAATTAATAATATATAAAGCTTTTTCAATTTTCTGTGGTCTGCCCCTGACCTAATGCAATGATCCCACCCCATTCCTTCCTTCTCCCCTTCTTCTTCTTCTAACAAATACTATTCTCAGTTCACCTCACTAAAATTTGGTGTATTAGTAAACTTTCTAGGAGATCCTACTGAGCACAATATAAATTCCACACAGTCAAGTAAATAGCTGTACTCGTGAAGGACGCATGCAATAGATACTCAATAATAGTTTAGCCCTAGCTGGTTTGGCTCAGTGGATAGAGCATCGGCCTGCGGACTAAAGGATCCCATGTTCCATTCTGGTCAAGGACTCATCCCCGGGCTGTGGGCCTGATCCCCAGTAGGGGACATGCAGGAGGCAGCCGATCAATGATTCCCATCCTTGATGTTTCTCTCTCTCTCTCCCTCTCCCTTCCTCTCTGAAATCAATAAAAATATATTTAAAATAATAATACAGTTTAGTAAAAAAAAAAACACCTATTTTTAAAATTTAACTTTTATTTTTTACTAAAGTAATGTTTGTATTCTGTCTAAAATATAAAATAATTCTACGAGGCTTATAACTACTTTCCCTTTCCCGCTCCAATTCCTTCAAGTGTTTCTTCCCAAATCTGTCTCCATAGTTCTGAATGGTGTACGGATACTGCTCTTTTCAGTTTTATTATCTTCTGACATCTTTCCTCTTTGAGACATCCATCCCGAAGCCCCTATTCTGCCCCAACCGGCCAGGGATGCCCTCTCGGTCTACTCACGCATTCAACCCACCTCGTGAGGTCAGACGGACGCCTGTGCCCACCCCTGCCTCCCGACAGTCATACTTCCCCCAGGGACCAGGGACCAGGGACCAGGGACCAGGGACTGCCCCAACCCAGCCACGCCTCCCCCACACCGAAAAGGGTGCGGATTTTGCCAACAGGTAGACGATCGTCTCCCGACTCACGTCCCCAGTAGTGAAAGGCCGACTTTTTTACCCTTAGAGAAGCACAGCAAGTGCCTCTGATGCCGGCCAGCAACTAAAACCTTCGTGAGGGGTTGTTTCCGCCCAACCGCAGTGCACAGAGCAGCCCTGACCTGGACGTGGAGGCCGGGCGGAGCTGGCGCTGCAGAAAGGCCACGGCCAGGGTCCCGCAGGGTGACCACGGGGTGAACTGTCCGCAAGGCGGCCCGAATCCACATACCTGGACCTGGAGGTGGAGGCCGACACCGGGCGCGCCGGCTTCGC